ACGCCTTTACCTACATGTAAAAAATGATAAAGCTTATGAAGGAATTGTGACCTAGTGTTGAACAAAGATTTCTTAGATAAGCAAAGTCCATAAAAGAAAAAGTTGATCAATTGGACTTTGTAAAATTAAAACTCTTACTCTTCAAAAAAGTGTCATTAAGAAAATAAAAAGAGGCTGGGTGTGGTGACTCATGCCTGTAATTCTATCACTTCAAGAAGCCAATGGTAAGAGGATTGATTGAGGCCAGGAGTTCAAGACCAGCCTGGGTAATAGCAAGACCCCGTCTCTACAAAAAATAAAAATATTAGCTGGGCATGGTGGTGAGTACCTACAGTCCCAGCTACTCGGGAGGCTAAGGCAGGAGGATCACTTGTGCACAGAAGTTGGAGGCTGTAGTGAGCTATAATGATGCCACTGCACTCTAGCCTGGGCAACAAAGTGAGACCCTGTCTCAAAAAATTAAATAAATAAATAAGCCACAGACTGGGAGAAAACATTTCCAAATCCTTTATCTGATGTAGTGATAAAGGGCTTGTATCCAGAATATATAAAGAACTTTTAAAACTCAATCAATCAAGACAAATGACCAAATTTGAAAATCAGCAAAAGATTTAAACATTAATGTAGTTCAACAAGAAAAAGTAAATGGCTCACACATGAAAACATGTTCAACATCATTAGTCATTAGAGACATGCAAATTAAAACCACAATGAGATACTACTCCATACCTACCTAAACTGAGGGATCAACTTTAGGAAAAAGTAAAATAGAAGGTGAGAATCTAGAAATTGATTCTCTTAAAATTATCTGTGCTGATACACTCCTTGGAAAGCTTTTGTGTACCTCCTGTGGTACACATACTGTACTTGAAGACCAATGGTATAAGAAAAAAAGTATTTGGTGACCAAGAAAATATTTGGTTAACAGAATTTGGCCTGGAATGGCATTCAGCATGAATGAGGCTGACTTGGAAAAGAAAAAGTAGTTAGGCCTGGGAAAGGAGCTAGCAGGAAGAGGAGAGGCAAGGAAGAGGGAGAACTCTTGCTAGAGTCTGTGACATCATCATCATAATCCTGATAGTCCCTAGCACTAGCAACTAGAGCAAAGTGAGGGCAATATCCTCAGGCAACACCCAAAATGTTTTCATCATCTCCTTGACTCCCACACCAGCTCCCTGCCTCAGCCCACATTGACTAGAAAGCATCATGCCCAGGCAAGTGTCCACATCTCCCACTTCAAACACTTCTAGAAATCACTTCATACCAACAAACTGGTGCAAGGCAGAGAACTGCACCAAGCAGAGCTGACCTTCCTTTATGCCCCACATTCCAGCCTCATGTATGCAGCATTTGTGACACTGTAATCATAATTTCGTGTTTACATGCCAGCCTCTTCCCTGTCCCATGAGAGACTGTGCCTTCCTTAAGAACAGAGACATCTTGAGATCTTTAGCACCCAGCACCCAGCCTGGCACATAGTATGCAGTCAATAAATATTCAATAAATGGAAGACTGGGTTTGTGAATACCACAGATACAAACTCCAACTGTACAGTCTGAAAGTCTTTGTCTACAAGAACCTTTTTTTAAACATTTGTGCACAGCCAATATACTGTAGAACCCATTTTTCTTTCTTAGGAGAGTCTCTATAATTAGGAACCTGATAATGTTGTTATATATCTAATCACCTTTTATATAAAATCTTCAGGGAAATGACACATAAAAGAAATGTGTTGTAGCCAGGAGACCAGGGACTAGAGAGAAGGTAGGTGACCTTGTTCTCACTAGTACCAGTGACTCTGGATGTGTCTTCCCTGGCTTACAGTTTCCTCATGGGTAAAATGAAAGGATCAAAGTATCATCTCTAAATATTCTCCAAATGCTAGTATTCTAAGGATCCTTAATCTATAAGTGTTTCACTAATGAACAATTAGGAAGCAGGAGGCATGTCACATGCTGAGTACCCTTAACATTTTGGTACCTCTTTGCTAGATATCAAACTAAATTATTATGTCTAAATGCAGTCAGTGCTTCAATTCCATGAACAAAATTAAATAACAGCCAAAAAGGAAACTCTTTCTCAAATCAGGAACTTTACCTTCCAATTCTAATTTCAATTCTTATAGCTAAAATTTTATCACATATAGGCATTGACACAATAGACAAACCATAAGCTTACCTGCCAGGAAACTGCTCCCAAAATCGCTGTTGCAAGAAGACTGAAAAAAACCAACTGCTCTGAAATTAAGCAAAAATGACGCATCCCTTTGGATGCCATTATTCTATCAAGGCTATTGTTATCTGCCCTGTGGGTAAAATATACTTTATGGCAGTCATTTAATTTGGTATGGAATCCCCAAAGAGTTAAAAGAAAAATAATATGGCAAATCATCCAGAAAATTCCAAAAATGGAAAAGCCTGGTATTACGAAATACCAGAGATGAGTGTCTCTAAGTTTAAATGCTGAAAGAATAAAAAATGTAAGCTCAATCATTCCAGTGAAAACAACTGAAAGTCTTCTGCAAATTCTTCCACGGTACAAAAAGGGTTTCCACCTTTCAGTTACTGAAAGTCCACTAAAATAAATGTCAAGGAAAGGATCAGTTATCAGGCAAATAAAAAAACATGCAAAAGCAATTGGATTTTTGGGAGTCTCCAATGAGGAAAAAAATAACAAGACTGCAAAAATAACTAAGTTTGGAATAGCCAGGAAAGACTTCATTCTCAGGTCAATAATCAGCATGGCCAAGGCTACAACTAGTAAAATGACACTCAGAGACTTTTCCACCAACATAGTTGTGCTGGCAATAGCAAATCCAACAAGTTCCAGAAATTCAACTGTGGTTAGTAAAGTGGGTCGATGACGGACATAACCAGAAATTCTCTCCACCAGAGAGCACAATATCCTTAATACTATGGAAGTTAAAAGCAAATACTTGGTTGACTCTTCTTTCACATCATTTTTAAAGGATGAATTATCAAGAAAACATAGGAGGCCAAGCAAGAATCCAAACCAAAGATTGGAGAGGCTTAAACTTGCTGCTTCCATTGAAAAATAATAATACAGTATGCTGGCAATTCCAAGAACAAAAAGGCCAAGAATAAAAATTACCAAAATTAAGGAATTTGCTGTTTTTTCCCATCTTACATACAGACCTAAGCATATAGCAACCAGTAAGTTGATTCTGGCTAAATAGCCAAGATATCTCACAGAAGAATGCATGTTCACTTCTCTATTTACTTCTTCCAGTCTTGTCATTGCTAAATAGAGACAATGACTAAAGCAATAACGCAGTGATTTACACATGTAATCGCAATTTAGGCTTTTCCCCCTACGTTATAAAAACTGCTGGTATTCATTCAGCAAATCCAATGCATCCGTAACTCCTA